CAAATAAGTTCCCCTCGGAATACGTCCCGACAGTCTTTGACAACTATGCGGTCACCGTTATGTGAGTGTATTCTCCTTGTGGCAGGCCGCATCGCACTTCATTTTACCCGCTAGACATCCTACATTTCCTCAGATCCAGAACTGTGAATGCGAAACCGAGGTACCACTGTCATTTCATGCGAAAACCGACGAGCGTCACTGCTGGCTGATACTGACTGCGTGTTCCTACAGGATCGGTGACGAGCCTTACACTCTTGGATTATTCGACACGGCCGGACAAGAGGATTACGATCGGCTGAGACCCTTGTCATACCCTCAGACAGATGTCTTTCTTGTCTGCTTCAGCGTCACATCACCCGCCTCATTCGAGAACGTCAGAGAGAAGTGGTTTCCCGAGGTCCATCACCACTGCCCTGGTGTACCCTGCCTGATTGTCGGCACCCAGACAGATTTGAGGGATGACCCGAGCGTTCGAGAGAAGTTGGCGAAACAGAAGATGCAGCCGGTACGGAAAGAGGACGGCGAGCGGATGGCAAAGGAGCTGGGGGCTGTCAAGTACGTTGAGTGCAGTGCATTGACGCAATACAAGCTTAAGGACGTATTCGATGAGGTGAGACGCACGAAACACAATCATCACAGCAGCCACAAATAACTAACGGCCATAGGCAATCGTCGCGGCTTTGGAGCCTCCCACTCCGAAGAAGAAAGCCCACAAGTGTCTCATCTTGTAAAGGGGGACAAGTTGTAAAACGGCAGGTAGCACTGCCATTCGACGGGAAAGGGTTTTATTCAGAAATTGGGAGCTGCACAGCGAGGCCAGTCTCATGGCATCCCTTTGTGACTTCACGGCTTCTGCTTTTCATCATAGCGATCTAGACTTGAAAGGAGAGGACAGCGATGTGACCGACGATCAGGATGTGAGGAATCGTCATTTCATAGTTTCCCCAGCAAAGAACTGGGAAACTAGAGGACCAGAACATGGTAATCCCCAGATATCTGGCCCTGCGGCACAGTACCGGCAGGCTGGGAGCACGTTTCGGAACGTCCTTTGTGAGGCATGGGGCTTGGGGCTTGAGGCTTTAGAAAGCTACGTGTGGTTGAGTGAGCCACGAGCTTTCTTCCGGACTGGAGTCGGTGCCGTTTTTGTTCTCTCTTCAGGCACCCATGACTCGTATCTGCCCAAGATACTTTTTTCTACATGCCAGGGGCATGATGGCACAGAAGAAACTCGTACATGTTGGCAGGATCTTCGATAGGACAGTTTGGCGATTTGGAGTGCATTGAATTGGAATTGACTCTTTTCACCATCTCATTGGATCTCACCGACAAGACGTGCTATCTCCGGTAAAGCAAGTGGTATACGGTATTCACCTGCGACGACAGCTCCTCGAGACGATATCGTCGAGTGAGTCCTCTGTATCTCAACTTCCACGCAGCCTGAGAGTGTAACATTAACATCCTCGGAGGCCGGCAGGTGGTCATCTCCCAACCCTCTTGCTTTTTGCGACATGACGCATACGGCTGTCCATCAAATCTCGTGTACCGTCGCCAACGGTCCGCTGAATATCTGACTTGACGCGATTGACTAAAAGCATGACGCAGCAAGCACCAATTGATTGGCATTGCACTAACAACACGCCATATGCATGGCACCAGCAGCTGCCTCTATGGGCCAAGGCGCCCTTCGTGCGCCCTTCGTGCCTCCAGCTTCTAAAGACCTATCGATAAAGTCTAACAGTTTAGTTATTGCCATCTACATGCTCTCTACGCACATGGTTGATTGTCTGGCCTGCCTGCTTGCATATCCCCGAACCGAACCGAAGCTCAGCAATACCGCCGCATCCAGGACTCCGCATGAGCTGCGCCGGAACGGAGTTGCGATTGACCAATAGCGCCATGTCATACCGCTTATCGCTACCCTCCATCGCACCGGGATGGGCCGAACCACGGCAGTCGACGCTGTATAAAGTAGACTTGAGGATGTGACTGCCACATGCGGGAATGAGGTTCTGGCCAAGTTGCCGACTTACTTCTTCCCTAATTCACTGCTGCTCTGTATTTCTCGATAGCGGATAGGGAGTCTGCTTGCCTCGCAATTCGCCCTTCTATCTTTAGTTCAGCATACTTTACTTGATAGCAGGGCCGCTACGGCTTTGCCAAACTGAAGGCTTCGGTTCGCTGTAACCATATTCCATACCAACTTTAAATTCCAACCTGAAGTATACTCCCCACAGAAATATTAACTTCATAGCATTGTTTCTCCGTTAAGTCATCGCCATACATATATCTATAGCGAGACACAACATTTTTAACATCGCATATTGTTTCTTTCGGGCTTATCTGAAGCAAAACAAGATTCGCCAGAGTTGTAAAACAAAATCAACTAAAGGTACCAACGCAAAGCCGTGATGAAATTGGCTGTACTCTTCTCGCTCACGGTGAGCTTGCTTGCGGGGATCGCCTTGGCGTGCGGCGGTCACGGTCACGAGGTTAGGGAATGGAGTCAGGAGGAACTTGATGACTTAGAAAGGAAATGGGGCGCTGAGTGGGGATTCACGGGCATTGGGTCGTTTGCCCATCTGCCTTACGCCAAGTGCCTGACCACTCCGAGTGAACAGTTCGACATAGCGATTATCGGGGCACCATTTGATACGGCCACGAGTTATCGGCCAGGGGCTCGCTTCGGACCACGCGCAATCCGGCACGCCTCCTCAAGACAGACCTCGTTCCGCGGCTTCAATCCCCGTGCAGGCGTAAACCCCTACCGGGACTGGGCCAGGGTCCTCGACTGCGGCGACATCCCCATCATCCCGGTTGACAATGCCGTCGCCCTGGAGCAGATGACAGCCGCATTTACCGAGCTAGGCAACCGTGCCCCGATCTCGCCTCTACTCAGCAAGCCCAAGCTCATCACGCTCGGCGGCGACCACAGCCTGGCCTTGCCGGCTCTCCGAGCCCTGAAACCACATTACGAGAACCTGCGCGTCCTCCACTTCGACGCCCATCTCGACACCTGGCACCCGGCAAAATACCCCTCGGCCTGGCCCTCGACACAGGCGCAGTTCAACCACGGATCCATGTTCTGGATGGCCGGAAACGAGGGTCTGCTTTCCAACTCGAGCGCCAAGCCCAATGTTCATGCTGGCCTGCGCACCCGTCTATCGGGCGACGACTGGACGGACTACGCAGACGACACGGCGCAGAACTGGGTGCGTCTTAGCGCGGACGATATGGACGATATTGGCACGGCCGGTATCGTGAAGGCCATCATGAACACCCTCGGCACGGACGATCCCGTTTATCTGTCCGTCGACATCGATGTGCTGGACCCTGCTTTCGCACCGGGCACCGGCACGCCGGAGCCGGGTGGCTGGACGACAAGAGAGTTAATCCGGGTGTTGAGGGGGATCGAGGAGCTTAACCTGGTTGGCGCCGACATCGTCGAGGTCGCACCTGCGTATCAGGGCGTGGGAGAGGAAACTGCGCTTGCTGGCGCGCAGGTTGTGTTTGAGATGTTGAGCAGTATGGTCAAGAAAGGGTGGGGGAATGTTGAAAGCACGGAAGAGAAGACTTGGAAGGATGAGCTATGATAGGGGTCAGTTCGACTCTTGGCCGCTGGGATAGGTTCAGAAATCACGGCGGTTGGTTGGATGCTGCATGATCATTTGAAAAGGGGAGTCATGGCAAGCGGGGCAGCTAGGGTTGAATTTGCTGCTGCATCTTGAGGACCTACTATTTTGTGCCTGTCTCAGCCGGTATGGTGCTGAGGACGTGCAATGAGAGCAATAGACATGTTCCACTTCGGAGAGTGATTCATACCTTTCGGATCCTGATTTTCCGGTGAAGCAGCAGCACAACCAACCCTTCCTGTCCCCTCTCCTTACTTTAGAAAAGCCTCCAGTGCACGACCCCAGTCTTGCATTTAGGTGTCAGTGAAGGAGAAGCTGATACTTCATACTCTGATATCCGCCTACTACTCTGATTGTATACCAGGTTGATTCAGTAGCTGACAAGATATCATCCATACCTAGGTAGAGCAAACTAGCAACAGTGTCTGGCAAGTACGGCGTAATATTCGTATTTTATGACAGATCATCGTTAATATTCGCGCTCCGAATACAGGTGCATGTTTTGACTGTCGCCTTCAAAACGGTTGCGGGCAACTTATTTGACTTGTCATCCATCTCGAGATCTGATACTGATAATATCTGCACTGATTGTATTTTGAGAGACGCATTCTCTTCGGCATGGACAGCACAACTTATCATTCGCGTTGCGTCATTTCACCCTTTCTTCCAACGCCGTCACTTGCGATAAAACAGCAGATCTGTTGCGTGTAGCTGCTTTCCGGGAGACCAAATATGAACCAAAAAGTGCGCCGACGATAGTCAAATGGATATGGTCAAGGTTGCAGACTGAATTATACCAGGCACTAAAATACACGATACAGCTGACGACGCCACTGATATTGAAACAGAGACCAAATGCACGGCTTAAATGTATTTTCTGCACGTCAGAATGCAGCAACGATTAGCGGGGGGTCAATGGCCTTTCGCAAGACTTGCTAAAAAAAGGACTTGTCAAGAACACAACCCTTGTCTGTCTATAGGTCTTAGAACCCTGCACAAGTCTTGCACTGCAAATGAGGCTTATAGACTCTCATCCCTGCGACCATTGGCATGCCTTGCGGTTGTACAGGTTTCAGAGCATGCACAGGTTCCGCCAACGCCCTTGATAACTATCCACGACCATCGTGGAAGAGTCGAGCACCGGAGTGAGCGAAAGTTATAATGCCAGGTTTGATTCTTGAAAGGCCTTGTCTCCGCCTTACCCAGAACGAACGAAGAACTGTACGTTCATGGCATAACTCCGTCTTCAAGCTCAGGCTGTGGTAGTTGTGCACTGGCAGGACAACGTCATTTGAGACAGCTGCGAGCGGCTGCAATGCACCTGTTGGACGATATAACTCTTTCTAAAATCCGACAACCATATATTGACAAGCAGGTTTGGCCGAGTGGTCTAAGGCGGTAGATTTAAGCTCTACTGACGAAAGTCGCCGGGGTTCGAACCCCCGAGCCTGCAGTTTTTTGTGCAAAGTTTTCCAAAAAAAGAGTTGTAGTTATTTTTTTTTCTTAGATTATAATATTAAAAAGAATTTTCTTTACTCGTATATACTTACCGTAAAGCTATTAACTTAAGTTCCGTTTACAGCATAAAGAAAACAAAGGAATTATATTTATTTTACTTGTTTCATAAAGCAGGAAGCCGTTTGCGGACGGTAATCCAGTCTTTTGTAGGACCCCCGTTGTTCTATATATATCTCACAAGACACAAAAAGACAGTCGAGGCAACGAAGCGCCATGGTATCTCTTTAGGACTCCAAACCCCTGAAATCACGTCTTTGCAGTAAGCAAAGGTAGGCAACACCATTTGCGGACAACGATTGAGAACGAAGCATCAGAATGGCTGCACCGGTCATACCCATCCCCAGAGACATGGCACGGTGGCTCGGTGGCCGCCAATCGTTCATGGACTATGGAAACGTACAGATTGCTTGGCACACGCTCAGACTGTCTTCAACTATGGCTATCCCTTTTCGACCCAAACCTCGGCGGTCTCACTTCAAAGACTATATTATCCGACTTCTAGAATATGTATCCCAACCTTCAGGCGGCACACGTGGATCCGAAGTGTTCCGGAGAAGAAGAATGGCAAAAGTGATGATGGCAGCGCGAACACTATTCCTGGTATACTTTGACGATCTCGACCTTACTCAAGTTATCAGCTGGGACGCATTGACCTTGGCAAGGAATCGAGCTTCCAAGCGCACTCGTTCTTGGGGCGCTACGCCGGCTCCGATAGGAATTGCAGCACTAACGCTAATGCTAGATCATCACGCAACTAACATCGATGCGCTGGCGGCAGCTTATAGAGAAGCACCATACATATGCCCGTCGGCCCAAAGAATCATGCGTGGAGTGGATGCGGGCCATATCGCCTTGAGGAAAACATACGACGCTACGTGGGGTTTCAGAGCACGTGATGGCACAGGCACATACAAAAGATTGAAGGCTATGGTCCCTGTCGCCGAAGATGGCAACTCTCTCTGGATATCTTTGCAGTACGTCGGAGGACACTCTTTCTTCGGAAGCCTAGACTGATAACAGCAGATTCAATTTAGACTGTTCTGTCGAGTCATTGCGCTCTTGGATGATTACCAAGTACCTTGTCTATAGATACTTTAAGGATTGTCTTTACGACAATACTATGCACCGACACAGACTCTATGTGCACTTGGAGCGCCAATCCTGGAACGAGCTCGAGACTAGAATTCCGGATTTGCCCAGACAGTGGGGTCAGACGGGTATGTTGCGAGCTTTTCAACAGAACAGGCAATATTCTGGACCCCCGATGTACGGGTAAGTGTTTCATACCTTTCGTTCGTCTATCCCAGCCCTGTATGTGGCATTGGATGCCCTCGGGCTTCCGCTTCCACTTTACTCGGTTTCCGAGACACTTCGTGGATGTGCCATAGAGTCCTAGAAATCACGCAACATCTATGTGCTAACGTTCCTTTCTTGCCTCAAGTCATTTTCGTGGAATGATGCAAGTGATATCCGACTTCTTTCGGAAAGAAATCGTCCTCTTCATTCGAGCTGATCCGGCTGTACAAATTTTCGAAGGCGTGGGGGACTATACCGTGGAGGCGTATGGTCGACGTATTGACGGCATAGGTCGACCCCAAATATTCTTAGTCACAGATCATCTGCGAGAACATTACGTGCCGGTCACCCACATTGATAACGAATTCCTCTTCGACCCTTTCGACAGTGAATTACCGTTCTTGCCTCCGGGGGGCCTGATCCATTTCAATACCAACCATTTAAACGGTAACGACAGGTATGGCTGGATAGGCGCACCCTGGCAACCACCACTACCTTTACCGCCAGGTTATACACCATCGCCGATTCCTGGAACCTACCTATACAACATTTATCATCTGAGTCTCGCGGGTCTCCAATCTCAAGAGTTCTTCTGCTTCGTGGGCTTGCATGATGTGACTTACCCCAGGGCTTCGGGCGGCCGATATCCGGACAACCTCCCCGATCCCGTAGCAGACGGGTGGGTAAACGAAGTGACGCCGGCGGGCTACCCCGCATACGCTCCGACTTTCAACCACATGCATGTGATATCCCACGGGGTATTCGTAGATTACGCGTTGCCAGGTAACCCGGAGTTTTGGCCGCGGTGGATTGATACCAGGCCTTATCAGGCCAGCGAGGATAGCGCACTTTTCGCAAGGCAGGGGAAATCTTTTGCACCGCAGGAGGGATCTCAGCCTTGATCTAGGCTTGGTTTCACCCAGAGTCTCAAGTGCTGCTTGTTGGAAGATCTAGCATCTGTCGCGGACTGCGAAGCTCAGGGCTCAGAAGCGATCACTCTTCTTATATTGGAAGTTGCGGACGGGGTCTTTCATTGCAGCAGTGTTTCAGTCACATCTGTTTACTCAGAGATCTATGGTTCTGTAATAGGGTTATTCACAATGTAACGCGTGTAGGAAGCTACATGCGAATGTTTGATATTTGCTAGAGTATTCCGTAGCCGGACAATTTCGTCTGCTATTCGAATGAGTTACCATCTTTGATCATGTGCCATGACTGTCTCGATAAGTCTCTAGGGTACCCGCTAGGGTACCTGATAGTAGTTGGTGCCGGTACACCCGCTCCGTAGCTTAGCCTTACGGTCGGTAGGCTGTGAAATAGCCCCCCTGCACTGTGGTAGGTGCCCGCACTCTACGTTAGTACATAGGCTATAGGCTCATTATCTGCAAAGATAGATTATGAGAATTCTACTCTTCATATCCACTTAAGGTTAGGATCATGAGCCAATATCTGGTCCCTAGAGGAAGACCAATGCCATCATTGAACTCCTTCTTGGTATCTTAGGGAGATACAGGCGTACATCAAAGCGGTGACCAGTAAGACGCTGAAAAAGGATAAAGGTTCCCTATTAGCTTTCAATGGCATAGTTCAACATTATGCAATGTGCCCTAGGACTAGTACAATCCGATTTGTGTTTGGGCTAGCCATCTGCGTGGAATCCTACTCCAACCCCAATCTAGCTTTCGAAGTTGCATTTTCGGTTTGGACGCATGGAGGACCAATTCGAAGAAGTACAGGACTTTCCTCCCTAGGCTATATGTTGAGAATGGCGAGTCTCGGTCCGCAGATCTCGGAAGGGTTCTCAAGCAAGCTACTGCTCAACAAAGAGTGTTATGGCGAGTGAAATCCACTACAATACCGAGAGCCCCCTGCAAAGGGACCGCTTTTGTGCGTTTTAGTGTACTTTGGCGAATGGTTGACATCATTGGCCTTACTACAGCCTGTGGTCAAGAGACCGATGATTTCTCCACACCTTTGCGCAACTAGCAGCGAAAATCCCGGGCCGGTGACATGGTTAAGTAAGTCCGCGCCTAGGACTTGTTGTCTTTACCGCTGAATTGACCAATTCGAGCGGCTCGTTCAAAACGGAAGGAGTACATCGCTCACTCCAAAGTCACTATATATAGCCTTATGCTATACCGTGATAGCTTTTCGAAATAAGTCTTTCACATAAACTATTGATTGTAGCTTATTCAAAGTCTTGAGGTTTCTCTAGACAATAGGATTGCAATCGACACCGACCAGTTCACTGCCACGATGACTTCCTCAAACCCTTACCCAACAGCCCCCATCATACCTCACATCCACCTGCTCTGCATGCAACCAAGAGCCTCAGACGCCTTCAAAGCAGCTGTCAAAGAGTACAGCCTCCCCTCCTCAACCCTCAGCTACACAGTCTACAACACCTACCTGTCTGACCTGCCCGCAACTGTGACGTTCGACTGCGTGGTCTCGCCCGCCAACTCGTACGGCATCCTAGACGGCGGCTTTGATGACGCCCTGTCGCGGGCGCTTGCGCCCAAGAACGACTACGGCGCTCTGACCCGCGCCGCGCACGCCCATCTCCACGCAGAGCACCGCGGCTTTCTCCCGCCCGGGTCGTGCAGTATCCTGAGGATCCCGGACGAGTTTCGGGCGGGCGGGCAGTTGAGGTACCACCGACGGGGGTGGGGCTGCCAATGGCTGGCGCTGTGCCCAACGATGCGCGTGCCCCAGCTGTGCGATTGGGATAGGGAGGTGGTATACGAGTGTATCTGGAGCTTACTGAATGCGGTGGAGAGGCATAATGCTAAGGCCAAGGATGCAACGGGGGAGGGAAAGGCTAATCAAGTGATTCGCTCGATTCTGATGACGCCATTGGGTACGGGGACCGGAGGAATCAGTGCTGAGAAATGGGCGCGTCAGGCAGTGTTGGCGATGAAACATTTTGTTGAGGCGGTGCAGAAGCCGGAAACGTGGACGACGTGGTTTGACGTGAAGGACGCAGATAGGGCAATCAACACGACGCATGGTATCTAGTCAGAGCCATTGTGTAGGCTTGGTAGGAAAAGGAGGTAAGTAGAGCATAGGAGTCCGAAGATTTGCAGTCTTGGCTTATGGAACTCTGAATGGAGAAACAAGAAGCCGCTACGGTATTCGAAGTATTCGACGCCCCTTGGCTTCAGAGGATAAAAGGCTACATGGTACTCAAGTTGACGAGAAACCAAGCGGATGTCATGAAGGCAATTTTAGACCAGATGCTCACTCCTCGTACTTAACGTCCTCCTGTTGTCCTTCATCTGCCTTTCCCCCTTCTTCGAGTGCCGTAAACACTTGCAACCCTCCGGCTTCCCACAGGTGTTGGGCTGTCTCTTCATGATTGCAATAGACAGCGAAGTCCAGTGGCGTCAGACCTTGGTCGTCCAGTGTGTTGATCTCAGCGCCAGCCCCCAATAGAATCTCGACGACTTGTAAGTGTCCTTTCATAGCAGCCTGGTGCAGCGGCGTCGTGTTTGTAATTGTGCGTACATTGACCTCGGCACACGCTTGGATTAGTGCCTCCACTATCTCCTCGTTTCCCATTTCTGCAGCCATGTGGATCGCCGTCACGCGCATGGCTTCGGACATGGCGTTAGGATCCGCTCCGCCCTTGAGCAATAC